TGTCTCACTGTAACTGTAAAAGCCTCATTATAGACTAGCAAATCATTTCTAACAAGTTCAACTGACAAATACTAAAACAAACCTGTACTATATACTGCTAAGTTATTTGTCTCAGATATGTACACTTAGAAAAAACAAATGTGAAAAAGACTATCCAAGCTTAAAAAGGGGGAAAAAAAGTGAACTTTCAAGTTACTGCCTATTTTGAAGTCCTTGAAAATAAAATAAAATAAAAATTCTCAGTAACAACAACAAAAAGAATAGCTTGCTTCCCCTTCCCCCTTCTGAGCTAGTGTCCAATTTCTTCTTTTCTGAACAGCTGTATTATCCAACTTAAGTTGCTCTGCTAATTTCAGTCCCATAAGGACTAACTTGGAAGGCAAGAAAATACAAGAAAAGATCAATTTGCTGGGAAAGATCAAATGAGAAAACTGTGGGGACAGCACGAGGTCAGAGTGTGGAGAACTAAGCAGACCTGTTCTTCATTAACTTAAGCTCTCTTGGGATGTCACACACTACCTGTCCATGGGCTTATTGAACCGCCTAACCCTCATCTCTGTACCATTCTTCTGGGCCCAAGCGAATCACATCCTGCTGCTGACAAGTTAACAGGGGAGTGCGGCTGCAACATGAAAGTACTTTTCTTTCTTGTCTAAATCAGGCAGATTTTTGAAAAGACGACACAGCATTGACTCGTGACATGGCAAGATGAAATGAGAGGTCTGGGCCAGTCTTGGAGCTGTGCAGATAAAAGTAATCAAATGACACTCCTGGAATGCAAATTGACATTCTTGACTGCAGCAATTGCACAACCATGAAACATCCCTGACAGCAAGCAAGATTAGGACAAAATGTTATGTAAAGCACTGAACGCAAAAACTCACTTGAAAAGTCAAACTGTAGCACTTACATTTTAATACAGAAATAGTCAGCTCTGCTTTTGTCTGTTCCTTTACTGCTTCTGTTATATGTAATCGCATATCCCCATCTGTCACATACACTTCAAGTATAAAAACCTCAAACCATGTGAACAAACACATACATCTCCTAGATTTGTCCACCTAAAATATTTTAACATAACTTTTTTTAAAAAATTAATATAGTTAAACAGAACCCTTCTATTATGTGTTTAAGCATCATGAATACAGAACAGTTCATATTTTGGGGTCTTAAAAGCAGTTTCTAACTTCTCTCATAACAAATAAGTTAACATTCATATTATCCTGCATCTGAATCACGTGAAATTACTAAATAAATAACTTGCTAAATATTTAGTGATCTGATTTTTAAATCTCATGCTCTTTAGGAATTTAAAGCAGAACATACATACAGCTAGAAGGTTCATTAAGGCTGGACAGCTTAAAATGAAACTAGTGTAACACAGAGCATTTATGCCCCGTTAAATATACGATTGAAGATTCCTGCTATTTTTAAGGGAAAGGAAAGTTCCACATACTTTTTCAGGGACTTGGTATTCTTAAGCAGCATCTGCTAATCAGGCTTATTAAATATTATTGTCTGAAATGAACTCAATAATTACACTAACAAAAATGCGTACCCTATTTTAAAAGTAATTCCTGACTATGAGATGAGCAATAGTATAGATGGTAAATGGAATATGCTATAATGAAAAATAAAGCGCACTCCTGTCTCTCAATATTTAATTTGCTTCCATGTCTGAAGGACACATGGGTTTAAAAGAGAAACATGTAATATTTTGCTTTGACTGCTTACTTAAAAGACATTTTAACTGTTGGTTGAGCAACAACAGCAAAAAAGACACTCTGCCACTTTAATCCTAGGGACACCAGATTATTACATGTCTTTTGTACATCAATTTTACAACAGCTTTACTCTAGGGTAAATGGGAATAATAAATCGCACACTGCTTTCAAAACCACTTTAATTTCTGTCAGTGTTGCTGTAACCACAGTCCTGGGCACATACTCCTTTTTCCTCCTCCCCACCTTGGGGTTCTGTGGGGTTTTGTTGTTGTTGTTGTTGCCTGCATTTAACAGTGGCATCTCCTACACTCCAAAAATTGTGGCTCTCATCACTGAAACAAGACATGCCACATTAAGGAAGGAATGGAAAAAAATATTAACCCTCTGTCTCATTCTTCTCCCCCCCACCCGCCTTTTTATATATACTGACCCATCTCCACAGTACAGCCAATCCCCAAGTGGGGGTAACAATAGCAATTTACTGTGGAAGCTTACTAAAAGCATGGGAGTGGTCAAGCAACACACCACTTTATTCAATATGGGCTGATCCCTGCTCCTCACTAGCTGAGCTAACTATACTTTTAACCCCAAGAATTATCACTGTCAGACTTCATATACATTTACTTCCTAAAATGTGCTTGTTCCTTGAAGCAGTAAAAGGTAGCTTCACATCATAGCCAGGGAGAGAGGATTTAAGCAAATTGAGATCCTGAGTCATCTCGGTTTTTATTTTTAATGTAAATGTTTTTAATTAAAACAAAAAGCCTGCTTCGTAAAATCCTGGTGTAAAAGAACTGGCCTCGTTTCATCTGCTCACAGGAGATCCAGCAAACATGCTCTGAAATCGGTTTTCCCTCTTCCAGTGAGCACATCAATATTTCCCTACAAGTTCTGGGCACAACTGCTGATGGGAAAGGTGTAAACTGCAAGCACATGCACAAGCAAAAGAGACGAAAGAGTTACTGATGGAAGGTGGATTTACACTTCTGTCTCCCTGCCTCAGGCGTTGTTTCTCTCTCTCTTTCACTCCGCCCCCCCCCCCCCACTCCCTACTTCTCCCACTTTCAAAGGTTACCTTTACATTGTGTGCAAACGTTACTCATTTCCAAGCAGAGGGTGGTTTCCAAAAAAGCTCACCCCACAGTACGTCTAATTCAATCTCACCCCACACTTTAAAAAACATTATCCCCTCACCTTTGGTAGACAGAAAGTGGCAGCAAAATCTTGTGGCCATCCCATCCCAAACTGAATGAAAGTTTGGGAGAACTTAAATCATTATTTCAACGTAGCACATGTCTCTCTCTCTCTCTCTCTCTCCCCGCCCCGCCCCCAGCTGTTTGTTGTTTTGGTTACTGCACAATTTATTAACAACAAAATAAAAAGGAAAGGCTAGAATGAAAACGAAAGGCTGTTGGAAACTTCTTACCATCTCTGCATGCTGGTTGTCAAGTGCACCCCCTGTCTCTTGATCTCCTCTCAGCAGCAGTGCCTGCACCAGCCCCTTCCTTCTGCCTCTGGGCTCTCTGCTCTTCTCGGTTTTTCTCTCTTCCCTCCCTCCCCCCCACTCTCAAGCCTTCAGGTGATTTGAACTAAAAACAAAAAGAGAGAGAGAGAGTCTCTCAAGCTCTTCAAAACTTCAGCCCCCAAACTTCAGCAGCAGCGGCAGCGAGAAAGACCTTTCGACACAGAGCTGCTGCGGGGGAGGGACCCAAGTTTGGATCTGAAGCCTCCACAGGTTGGTTTGTTGTTGTTGGGTTGTTTGGCTGGAAGGGGGGTGGGGGGAGGGCTTGCAAGTGGATCTGAAAGGACAACGTTGCTTCCTTGCGCCCCGTTAACCCTCAGCCGCTTTGCACTGCTCGGGGGGGGGGGGTAGTGCAAACCCGGGGAGGGGGGGTCCCACTGAGGCCGCTCGAGCCCAGCTGTCAAAAACGCCGAGCAGCCCCAGCGAGCTTTATTACGAGCCAAGCCTGCCGATCTCGCCGTGTGTCTCTCTGTGTCTCGCTCTCTCTTTCCCCTCTGGCCGGTTCCCCCTCGCAGCGGCGGCGAGCTCTCCTGCTGCTGCTTCTCCTCTTCCTTATCAGCTCAAGGCGTCCAGCCGCCGCTGGAGAGCCAGAGGGAAGGGAAAGGGGTGGAGGGAAAATAATACGCAACCCGAAGGAGAATGGGAGAAAGTCCCGGGAAGCGCGTTAAAAAGGAAGAGAAAAGTTAGGCAGCGCTGAAGTTTTTGCTCGTGGTCCCGATTTCCTGCTTCCCACTCCCCTGTTCCATCAGCTCCCGGGGCTCTGCCGCTGCTGGGTGTGGGAGCTGAAGACTTTTTTTAAAAAACAGGCTTTTGGGGGAGGGGGGGGGCGTCACGGTTGTACGTTTGCAGGGGGAAGACAAGAGTCACATCTGTGTGTGACACGGAGCCAGCCGAGCTAAACCCTGCCCTGGGGAGACAGAAAAAACACGAGCTCAAGGCTTCAGCGCCCAGGCGCACAACTGCAGCTGGGAGCACACATTTTTAAGGCACATGCAACAAAATCCACACCCTTTCCAAGCCACACACACTCATCATCGCCATCAGCCAGGACATAATTTAACATGTGGGAACAACACAGCAAGTTGCACTGATTTATCACAGTTGACCAAAGTTTCAGCTCCTCCAACCCAAGAAACGAAATGGGACAGATTTTATGCCAGTTCTTCTATGCTGAATGTCCCCTTTTCCTCCGAAGTCTTCTATTAGCCCAATGTACATCAAAGGCTTTAAAACTTTTCCCTCTAGTGTCCTTATTTATGGATCTGAAATGTTGGCAGATATGTAAATCCACATGAGTAATTGGGAAAGGGAGAGGATGACTAAAGTCTATAAAGTTCGTTTGTCTGTCCAGGGGTAGTAGTAACCACATCTGTTATATACTTAAATATCTACCCTTCCCCTCCCTCATATTCCAGATAACAAAATGAAGGCTCCTTACTTCTCTTTAAAAATTAACATGGTTTCTTTCAAAATATATAGTAAAAGCATCAGGGTTCTTTCAACTGGGACTAGACAAAATGCATGTCTCTGTTAAAAAAAAAATGCTGACCCTGTGAAGGGTGTCTCCACATTTTCAAGCCACTATGTTAAATAAAAATTTAAAAAAACTGTTAGCTACTGTCAAGTCAAATTTGCCATTTTCCTCCTCTTTTGGTAATTGGACACGTTTAAGGCCAAGTGGGTATGTGGATAGGTTTGGGGGTAGTGAGGTGATGGGTCAGGGTCAAGCATGTGAGACAGGTTGCTAGCTGCCTTTTGATTTTGGCTAAGGAATCTATTGTCTTTTGGAGGGACCACACCAAACTCACTTACAGTGGCACATCCTTAGAATTTCTACCAGATTTTGCTTCCCCTCTCCTCCTACACCCCCCTCCCCCATCTTCAGTGTGCCCATCTCCAGTGTGGGAATCAGATCTACGCATGCTACTATCAAACACCTATTCATTGCAGACAGGGGCCTATATATGCCCCAAGTTACCCACTCCTCCATGAAATGGTTCATTTTGGGTAGTATACAGATAGTATACTGTTGGGCATAACAGACAAGCAAGCATATGAACTAGGATTTACATTACCCTCACTTCACCCAGATTAGTTTGGATCCACATTATTTAGGGAGTACACTTTAGGATTTGTTATGGTGCAAGACAGGTTTGCATTCGCTACACAATGGTACCGCCTTTATATAGCTTACATTGGAAGATGCTGATGACCAAACTGGGGTTTTGAATAATTTAGGAAACAGAATTAAACCATAATCTGATGTGTTTTCTAGCAACAGAGCAGAGTCATAAGAGAAGTTGATTACTCATTTCAGAGTCAAATCTCTTTACGCACACAAACCCATTCACCCACTTGAGTCAAGTGATGTGACCATTTGAACCAGTAAAGGGCCAAGAACTTGTCAAAAAATTGTGGCCACACAGCCCTCTGGTGGCTAAATACCTTCACAAGCCCACATGCAGGTTTCTCCACATCAGATTGCTTCAGACTGGCCTGAATCAGATTTAGTAATAAAATTTGGGACCTTCACCACATCAAAGGTACAATCCCTTAGGTAATAAGGGTGTGCCACACAAGAAAGCCGGCAAGAGACTAATCTTTATTTCTTGGCCTCAGTCACAGGACATGGGTTAGGTTTACAAAAGGTTGTATGTACCCCTATAACATGACGGGTCAGTGTGCATCAACTGTAGTGATACTATTACACTTACCACTAGAGCCAACCTAGTAACTTCTTCAGCAGTAAGTACAAAGCAGGCTGTCATCCTCATTGGGGCCAGCCACTTGAGCGAGAGGGTACGTCTATACTTACCTCCGGGTCCGGCGGTAAGCAATCGATCTTCTGGGATCGATCCCGGAAGTGCTCGCCGTCGATGCCGGTACTCCTGCTCGGCAAGAGGAGTACGCAGAGTCGATGGGGGAACCTGCCTGCCACATGTGGACCCGCGGTAAATTCGAACTAAGATAGTTCGACTTCAGCTACGTGAATAACGTAGCTGAAGTTGCATATCTGAGTTCGAAGTGGGTGGTTAGTGTGGACCAGCTCAGAGATGCTCACACACACTAAGCCACGTGGGGCACTCTGTAGGATGCTGGACCTAAATTCTGTGGCATGGTACCAGGATTCTGCAGCTCTGCTGCTGCTAATTGGAGGTGTGTGAGTTTAAAAAAACAAAAAAAACCAAAAAAAAAAAAAACCACTACTTTAAAAAAGAACATTAAGATTTTAAAGTCAAACACTCAAACATTAATAAATGTCAGATTTACGTGTAATTCAACCTCCTTCTTTTATGATACGGTCTTTAGTTTCATAAACACACCCTACTTTTCTATAGGACCCAAGCCTTATTCAGTGAATGGGTATGTATTCAAATTTTTTTTTTATCCTTCACTTTCAATGTGTGGCCTCAGGCCTGATTTAAAATACACATCATTCAAACCCTTCCGAGCCATTTCTGTGGTGCTCTATAGCATCGAAATGCTTCACAAACATTAATGAATTTATCCTCACAATATCCTAGTGAAAATAGGTATGATTATTCCCATTTTTACAGGTAGAGAACTGAGGCACAGAGGGATTAAGACTAAAATTGTCTCATGTCCACTAGTTTTTGATGCCCAATTTAAGACACTTAGAGCCTGATTTTTCAGAGTACTTAGTGTTTTTATAGCACTTTTATATGTTTAAAGCATGACTCTAATAAACTTCACTTAGTTACGATCACTCAGCAGTTCTGTTGATATTCTGGCCCTAGATGTCTCAAATTGGGCAACCAGAAACATGAGGAACACAAACTAAATATTCATAGTCACTGATTTGCCCAGCATCACACACAAACTCTGTGGCAGAGGCAGGGATAGAATCCAGTTCCCCAGGATGGTATCCAACTGCCTTAACCATGAGCCAATCCTTTCTCTTCCTGCAGTCCCCTGACATGTTCACCGTACACCTTCCAACTTCTGCAACAAATGACGCAGGAATCTTGCAGACAGCAGTCTCATTCACTACACAACAACCCTGATTCATTCCCAGAGCACTATCCATCCATCCTGCACACCAAATAAGACAGAGCTCTTGTGGAAAATAATAGTATGTTTTTGTGTAATTAAAGACTGCATATGCATTATGATACAAGGGGTCCAAATTAAAGTTGGAATGGGCAACTGAATTCTGGCATTTCCTATCATCTGAATGTTCAACTTTGTAATCTCTGTTCTTTAACATAATTTTTGGATGCAATTATTTATACATTATGCATAGGGTGACCAGATGTCCCAATTTTATGGGGACAGTCCTGATTTTGGGGGCTTTTTCTTATATAGGCACCTATTACTCCCCACCCCCATCCCAATTTTTTACACTTGCTATCTGGTCACTCTAATTATGCAGTATTTCAGCCTACTTCTCAAATATTAGTTGACCTGTGAGCCAGGTCAAGGTAATAAGTGGGAACTGCAGCAACAATTAGATCTGTGTTTGTATGTTGCACCTTCAAAACTATTCTAAAAGGAGTCATTAAATAGTTGCACCAGCGAGGTTATGCTTCTGAATAAAGAGTAATTGATTTCCTTCCCTGTTAGAGACAGCGATACCTCCATTTACTCTGTACAAAACCCTCTTTTTCCGATCACGTTTGGGACATTGGAAAAAGGGAAATATTTCATTCTTAATATCAGTGACACGGATTGCTGGGTATATGTTGGTGCACAGAACCTTAAAAAAAAAAAAACCAACACACACACAAAGCAATTAAATTCCAGTTTAAGGAGTGTGCAGACAAGCTCTAGCAATGGGCGTTCATATGTGTGGTGTAGAGATGTAGGCATTTATTCTAACTAATAAAAGGTAAGTTGCATTCATGGTGTAACATGACTTGCCTGGTATCCTACATCACCAGCAGGGATAATGCAAAGTAAGGGTTTTCTTGCAGAAAACACTGTCGGGTTCCTCGCTGAATCAGTTTCATCCAGTTGCTTAAAACTGGAAGGTAAACTGACATGGTTTTGTGAGGCAAACATTTAATTGTTACTATAGCTAATGCCTGCCTTGATCATTCAGCAATAATGAGGAATACATGATGGAAGAATATGTTTTGCATACAACAGCAAGATGTTTTATATACAGCAACAAGATACAACCCAGGATTCAGATACGTATAGTATTCTTGAAATTGTCATCCTGGTATTAGGAAAAGTTATTACACCAGAGA